CATAATGATAACTTTGACTTTACTCTGAGCCTCAAGAGAGAGGAAGTTCAAAGCAAGTTAGCCACTAATGGGAAATTCATGTTCACTTTCGACATCCCCTGTTTTTCCCTTTTTTACTTCCACAGTTGCAAGTCGAGTTTCTATACGCAAGCAGGCAACCCTGGGTAAGCCCAGTTGCAATAATGCCAACTAACCAGGTCACATAGATATAGATGAATAGTGACTGACAAAAAGAGAGAACTTCAAGTGACCACACAAAATAGGATCATCAGCTTCTCATGAAAATGGGAGAGCAGTTGATAAAATTTTCCAAAACATCAAAAATATATATATATAAAACAGGTTTGTATACATTATTAAAGTGCTCAGGTAATAATATAGTAAAAACCTTTTTCACTGATGCATTCAGCAAATGTTTATTGAGCACCTACTATATGGCAGGCACTGTCCTAGCACGAAGGATTCAAAGATGAATAAGAAACAGGCTTGGCCTCAAAGAGCTGTGTTTCTAGTAAGTGGAGACAAATATGTGAACATAGGTGTGCAATTAGGAACTATGGGTGTTAGGCAGAGGGTGGACAGGTAACAATGGGGACAAAAGAGGGAATAGTTGAAGGGTCTTTGGAAAGGCAAGAGATAGCCTGTAGAGTCTTCAATAGTTAGCAGGTGTTCACCAAACAGATAAGGTAAAGAAAGGCTCTCAGGGCAGCTTGAACAAAAGCTTTTATAAAGATAAAATATATGGCATATTTATAAAATGTCAGATAATTTGGTACATTTGGAATATCACAGAGTGCAATGAACAGGACCAATGATGACCCTGAAGAAATAAGAGGGGCCTCGTGAAGAGCTCTGAATAGCATGTCAGGGTCCCGAGGCTCCAGAGGGTGCCACCAAAGAGCTTGAAGTCTTAGAGTCTTAGTAAGTTCACCCTGGGTGAAGTGTGGAGATGAACTATAAGCAAAGAAATATCAGAGGCATGCAATCAGTGAGGAGGCCATTGCAATGATCTAGACAAGATCATGAAGGCTGGATTAAACCAGGGGTAGTAAAACAGGTGTGTACAGATGTTAAGAGCTGCAAACAGAGTAAAAATGATAGGCCATGGACAAAAACCCAGTTGACCTAGTATCTCTCTTTCTATTCTTACAAGTAGTCAAGTTATTTACTTAAATGATTCCATGTGAGCATCAATTCCATGTGAGACAATGGTCTAAATTAATTTCATTTCTCTGATAAAATACATAGGAGTGCTACTGAGTGGTAAGACAGCTGAAATACACACAAGGCAGGATGGAAAAGAAAAGAAGAGCCCAGGATTATGTAAAATAAGCAATTCTCAGTAGTTGCCAGAGGTCGAAGGATGAGGGTAGAATTTGATTATGGCAGGTTATCAAAAGGGAATTTGGGGGGAGGGGGAGGGCACAGGGAACATACAAAAGTGTTCTATATCTTCACTATTGTGGTAGTAACATGACTTTTTGCTTTTGTAAAAACTCATAAACCTATACACCAAGAAGAATGAATTTCTCAGAATAGCAATCTGAGAAAGGAAACCTACTTACTCTTGGATATTTATTCATTCACTCATTCATTCACTCAGAATACACATACTCAACAAATAGCACATACTCCATGCCAGAAACTGTTATGTGTTAGATACATGGTGGGAAATGGGCCCCATGGAGCCTGCAGTACAGTGGAAAAGATATCCATTAAGTAAATATTTCTGTAAATTCAATTACAATTGTGATAGGAAAAAAAGAGCAACATAATATGAAAGCATGGAACAAGCTTCCCTCAAGTGGTGATATTAAAGCTAAACCCCGGGGCACCTGGGTGGCTCAGTCGGTTGAGCGCCCACTCGATTTCAGCTCAAGGTCATGAGCTGTGTTGGGCTCCACCCTCAGCGTGAAGTCTGCTTCAGATTTTCTCTCTCCCTCTGTCTCTGCCCCTCCCCCTGTGCCCTCTCTCTCTCTCTCTCAAAATAAATAAATAAAATCTTTTTTAAAAAAGACCCTATTGAAAAAAAAAAAAAAGATTCTCTCTCTCCCTCTGCCCCTTACCCCCCACAAAAAAGCTAAACCCTAAGGATAAGTTAAGTTGACTAAAAGTGAAGAGGAGTGGTCAAGGGAAAACAACACATTTGGGAAGACTCTGAGGTATGAGCTTTCACATACCATGCACACTCTTGTATACTCACACATGCTCACAAATACCCTCACAAACTTACCTCCTCATGTACACATTACTAAATTTTGTGTTTCTCTCTAAGACCCTTTATGCTATGTATATTTCTATAGTGGAAATTGGTAAGGACTTTCTATAGACTTCCTGTATCTACTCCTTAGCAGATAGGACACCCCAATAAAATTATTTAACCTATTTGTACCCCAATTTCGGGCCCCATGCTCAGCAGGGAGTCTGCTTGAGATTCTCTCCCTTTTCTTCTGTCCCTTCCCCCGCAAAATAAATAAATCTTTTTTTTTAAAGGCTAACTTTAATTTTATTTTATTATGTTATGTTAGTCAACATACATCATTAGTTTTTGATGTAGTGTTCCATGATTCATTGTTTGTGTATAACACCCAGTGCTCCATGCAGAATGTGCCCTCCTTAATACCCATCACCAGGCTAACCCACCCCCCAGCCCCCCTCCCCTCTAAAACCCTCAGTTTGTTCTCAGAGTCCATATTCTCTCATGGTTCATCTCCCCCTCCAATTTCCCCCCCTTCATTTTTCCCTTCCTACTATTTTCTTTTTTTTTTTTTAACATATATTATTTCAGAGGTACAGGTCTGTGATTCATTAGTCTTATATAATACCCAGTGCTCACCATAGCACATATCCTCCCCAGTGTCCATCACCCAGGCCCCCATCCCTCCCACCCTCCGCCACTCCAGCAACCCTCAGTTTGGTTCCTGAGATTAAGAGTCGCTTATGGTTTGTCTCCCTTTCTAGTTTCATGTTGTTTCATTTTTTCCTCCCTTCCCCTATGATCCTCTGTCTTGTTTCTCAAATTTAAAGACTAACTCTTAAAAAACACTGACAATACCAAGTATTGAGGAAGATGGACAATAGTTGGGTCTCCTGCACATTGCCAATGAAAGTGAAAAATGGTAACCACTTTGGAAAACAGTTTGACTGCTTCTTTTAAAGTTACATATGCACTTATCTGAACCAGCTACTCCATGCCTAGGCCTTTACCAAAATGAAACAAAACCATATGTCCACACAAAGACTGTTCATAATAGCCAAAAATTGGAACAACCCAAATGTCCACCAATAAGTGAATGGCTAACAAATTATGTTATTAACACAATTAATTACTATCCAGCAATAAAAATATAACTACTAGCAAATGCAACCATGCGGATGAATCTCATGGTTCTCGCACCATGCTGAGTGAAAGAAGCTAAACACAAAAGAGTACATTCTGTATGGTTCCATTTATATGATATGCTAGAGAGGCAAAATGAATCTATAGTGATAGAAATCAGATCAATGGTTGCCTAGAACAGTGAGTGGAGAGAGGGATTGACTGCAAAGGAGTGTGTACAAGGGAACTGTCTAGTTGATTAAAATGTGCTGTATCTTGACTATGGTGATGGTTATATGGGTGTATGCACTTAGTGAACTATACACTTAAAAAGTATACCTTTTATTGTATGTAAACTATACCTCACAAAGTCAATTTTTAAAAAGATGGTTGCCTAACTCTTTAAATTAGAAGCCTTATCTTCATCATCATCCTACAATGAGTCATTCAGCAGTAAATTTTATAAGGAACAAATTCTTTATGAATCATGCACAGGCACCCCAAACAAATGTCTAACCACTTGTTTGTGTTATATGTGCATGGCTGGAGAAATAGCTGCCCATTAACCTAGCCCTTGCCCATCCTCTCTGATTCTGAGCCGCAGAAGAAATGTAACTTCAGTTCTCATCTTCCTAAGTATCCTCATTAACGACTTGTTGACCAGTTCCTGAAGTGTCTGCGTTTATTTTTTTTAAGATTTCATTTATTTATTTGACAGAGAGAGAGCAAGAGAGCACAAGCAGGGAGAAGCAGGCTTCCATCTGAGCAGGGAGCCCGATGTGGGGCTCCATAACTAGGACCCTGGGATCATGACCTGAGCTGAAGGCAGACACTTAACCGACTGAGCCACCCAGTGACCCCTTACTTTTTTTTTTTTTTTAAAGATTTTATTTATTTATTTGAGAGAGAGAATGAGACAGAGAGCATGAGAGGGGGGAGGGTCAGAGAGAGAGGCAGACTCCCTGCCGAGCAGGGAGCCCGATGCGGGACTCGATCCCGGGACTCCAGGATCATGACCTGAGCCGAAGGCAGCCGCTTAACCAACTGAGCCACGCAGGCGCCCCAGTGACCCCTTACTTTTAAGCAAGTTCTACCATCTGAAATCTTGGCTGGCTGCAGGGCTTAAGGGTACATTCTCTTCAAAATCTGCCCCCATCTCATACCAGAGGTAATGGTTAGTCTGACTACATAATGAACCAGTGCTAATGATGGTCAGATAGGCTGCCCTAATTACCTTCCCCTGCTCAAGGACCCTCTTAAAGACTTTTTTGAAAACACAGGCAATAGGAAAGCTAGACCCTCCTCTCCTTGAAATTTTCCTGTCTGTAGTCAGAAACTGATGGACAAAAGCAAAGGATCATAAACTAAGGGCTCTGCTAGTCTGCACAATGATCATACATGCTAAGAGGAGTGCCTCCGTCTATTGGAAAACCTTCCTTCCTTCCTGATTTGGAGCCTTTAAAAAAAAAAAAAAGATTTTATGCATTTGAGAGAGAGAGTGAGTGAGTGAGAGAGAGAGCACAAGCCAGTGGGGAGAGACAGAGGGAGAGGGAGAAGCAGACTCCCCGCCCAGCAAGGAACCTGACACGGGGCTTGATCCCAGGACCCTGAGCCAAAAGCAGACGCTCAACCGACTGAGCCACCCAGGCACCCTGATTTGGAGCCTTGGTAAGGTAGCAGGATGCTCACTTCAGCAGCACCTCTACTAAAACTAGAATGATACAGAGAACATTAGCATGACCCCTGCCCAAGGATGACACACAACATCCTAAAAACAATTCATAGAAAAAGAGAACAGGCTTGTGGTTACCAGAGGAAGGGAGTGGGAGGTGGGGAAATTGGGTGAAGGTGGTCAAAAGGTACAAACTTGCACGTACAAGATAAGTAAGTCCTGGGAATGCATTGTACATGATGACTACAGTTAACATTGCTGTATGGTATATATGAAAGTTACTAAGAGAGCAGATCCTACGAGTTCTCATCACAAGGAAAATCACAAAATGTTTGTAACTATATGAGGTGACAGATGTTAACCAAACTTATTGTAGCAACCATTCACAATGCATATATGTCAAGTTATTATACAGTACACCTTAAACTTACATATAGTGCTGTATGTCAATTATATCTCAGTAAAACTGGGGGAAGAAGAATAGCAGAAAATGCATAAAACTTACTACAAGCCCAAATCCTGTGTTATCGATTGTATTCGTTTTCTATGGCTGCATAGCAAATTACCACAAACTTAGCAGTTGAAACACCATCATTTATTATCTCACGGTTTGGCAGGTCAGAAAGCTGAGTACTCTCTGCATGGAATGTCACAAGGCCAAACTCCAGGAGCCAGCTGGGAAGGGCTCTTATCTAAAGGTTCTGGACAAGAATCTACTTCCAAGCTTATTCAGCCTGTTGGCAGGATTCGGTTCCTTGGCATGTAGGACTGAGATCCCATTTTCTTTCTGGCTATCTGGAAACTACCTGCATTCCTCAGCTCACAGCCCCCCCTTCTTCATCTTCAAAGCCAATAATTGTAGGTGTAATCTTTCTCAGGATTCAAATCTCTCTAACTTCCTCTTCTGTGACCAGCCAGAGAAAACTCTTCTTTTAAAGGGCTCAGGTGATTAGATCAGGTGCACCTGGATAGTCTCCCTATCTTAAGGTCAACTCATTTGTAACCTTAATCACATCCAGAAAATTACTTTTGTCATGTAACATAATGTAATCGCAGGAATAACACCAGGGGCAGACACCATGAAGCCATCTTAGAATTCTGCCTACCATAGTGATGCTAGATTCTGTCCAGCACCACTGACCTGCTCTGTATCCCTAGAGTTATCATTCACCCAAACATTTTAAAGTCTTTAAAAACAAGTGCTGCTAGTCAGTGATTAGGAGCCTACTTCCCAGATTATAGTAATTAAGACTATTAAAAAATACCAGATTTAAAGTTAAAGGAACTATGTTTAAATCCCAAGTGCTCAGGGCAGAAAGAAGTTATTATGAGCTGGGAAAAGCTTCCTAGAAGTGGCACCCAAGCAGAGCTTTCTAGGATGCAGAGAATTTGGGTAGGAAAGAGCATGGCCAAAGATAGGAATGAATAAGGCCTCGGCAGAGTGGTGAGGAGACCCACCTTACAGCCTGTTTGGGAATAATGGACGATCAGACAGATGGGGGTAATGAAAAAGATGGCTTTATAAATCAGGACAAGAGTTTGCATTTGATTCAATAAGCAATACTGAGCCTTTGAAACCTTCTTAGGTTTCATAAAAGTATGCCGAATAGTTAGAAATTGTTGGATTGGTGAGAAAAATAAGATTAGAGAAAGAATAATTAGAAAGCAATGGGAGACACAGATTGCTTATCTATCAGAAATACATACTGATATTCCACGATGAGTGGGGTAGGCTTAAACATCTTCAAAAGAAAAATAAGGGGGAAGAAACAAAAATAATAAAGCGATTATAACTGATGAAGCTTCCTGAGAGGTACAAGGGGGTTCAATATAGTATTCTACCTACTTCTGCATGTTTGAATGTTTCCATAATAAAATGGGTTTTTTTAAGCCTATTGTGATAATCAAGGAATGAAGTCATAAAAACCTAGACATAGGTGGTAGCAGGGAAAATAGAAAGAAAAGATTAATTCCACAAATATTTTGACCTTGATAACAGATTTGATATAACAACTTCAGCTGAGGGAATAAATAAAACCGACTCATTTATATAGCCTTGGAAATAAAATGTCTTAAAAAGGAACCTATCAACCTGAACTTTCAATGAAGTTAGTTCTTCATTAGTCTGTATGATCAGAATGCATGGAGAAATTAATCATCTGTGTAAGTTAAATTTCTGCCCATAGATCTTTTTCTCTATCTACTGCACCACATGAGAAAACTGGACAGATTTTTGTTAAGTTTAGAAGGTCTATTTGGAAAAAGCTGCCTATTAAAATATGCTTTGATTGGTCTATACAAAAAATAACTTTGTAAGTCCCTAGATGTGTCTCATTTATTTATTTTTCTCTTAGACATGGCAATGTAGAATATTAAGTTTAAAGTTTTCCACAAGTTGAGTCCAGAATTTTATCTTTTTAAAAAATTATCCAGGAATCTTCTGGGCACAAGCACCCAAAAGATCCAAATGCTTTTTTTTCCCAAGTGATATATTTTTGTTTTCTACAAAATTGCTATCCTGAAGATAAACAGTTCTTATTTCCATATCTGCAAGAGCCTAAAAAGGAGAATTTTTTTGAAATTCTTAATGTAATTTTAGAAGGAATATGTCTTGGGGTAAAAAGGGAGAGAAAGGCTTTCAAAAGATGAATGAGAGTGGTATCATAAGTAAAAAACATTTGCAGCCATTTCAGAAAGACAGGCCCTCTTATGGGCAGGCTCTCACTGAGACAAATAAATGCTCAACAGCATTCGACACCTGAGGCTTCACGAGGGCGCCCACACTCTTCCACAAGCACTTGAGCTGAAGGCCTGCCCGAGGGACGTTTGGTTGCAAATACAGAGAAAAGGCCATAGCATTAAGACACTGTGAGTTGAGAAAATAAACAGTGATTTCAAACTTATTCTCCAAATCAATTAAGCTAAGAAATCTAGTATTATTTTTTTTTCTTTGAAGATTTTATTTATTTGACAGAGAGAGACACAGCGAGAGAGGGAACACAAGCAGGGGGAGCGGGAGAGGAAGAAGCAGGCTTCCCGCGGAGCAGGGAGCCTGATGCGGGGCTCCATCCCAAGAATCTGGGATCATGACCCGAGCCGAAGGCAGACGCTTAACAACTGAGCCACCCAGGCGCCCTGAAATCTAGTATTATTTTATAATCTTAAATTTGTCCCTATTATCAAACCCAAAGGTATTAAGCTGTTCCTACAGGAAACATGTGCTGGATTCAGGTACCAAGTTCCCAGAGCCATTGAAATCTCTATTTTCATATATAGCCAGAATCTTGTCACTCGAAAAAATAATATCTAGACCTAAAACACTAAATTTCAATGGATTTTGGCAAAGTGGTTCAGTATTTATTGTCTGAAACCATGGATTTCCTGGAGTTGATCTTTCACTTTCAAATGTCTGTGGTTTCCAGGAAGTGCTTACCCTGGTTTTATCATTACAAGGTCAGATGGTCAAAAATGAAGACATGTCATTTATGACCATTTTGCTTTTTAGGTGGTATGATCAAAGTGAAGAGCAGCAAGTTTGTTCACATGCATACCAGAGAACAGAACCAACGATAATCAATTATTGATTGTTGTAAGTTTCAATTAATTGAAGTTCTTTTAACCATTATAATAATTTTTAAATTATAGCCAATAATTACTTTATTGCTTCTACTAAAGTTTATCAATGTTAAATGAGTCTCCTGGTCATTGCCAGTTATTACATCTTAATAAATGAAATGGAGATGATATATCATGCATTAAACAAATTCTGTATTAAAAAAATGCTCATAGATTCTGAAGACAAGACTATAGGATTGCTCAAAAAGAAGTATTCATCCTAACCATTGTGTAAAAGGAATACTAGTAGAAGAAAAGATGATAAAGCCTCGTTCCCTGGTGTAGTGGTTTCAGTGGTGAACCCCAAGAAGACATGTCCATGTCCTCATGTCCTAATCCTCAGAACCTGTGAACCTTACCTCATTTGGGAAAAGGATCTTTGCACATGTAGTTAAGAATTTCGAGGTGAGGGCACCTGGGTGGCTCAGTCGTTAAGCGTCTGCCTTTGGCTCAGGTCATGATCCCAGGGTCCTGGGATCAAGTCCCACATCGGACTCCCTGCTCCGCGGGAAGCCTGCTTCTCCCTCTCCCACTCCCCCTGCTTGCATTCCCTCTCTCGCTGTGTCTCTCTCTGTCAAATAAATTAAAAAAAATAAAAAAATAAAATCTAAAAAAAAAAAAAAAAGAATCTCGAGGTGAGGTCGTCCTGGATGATCCAGTGGGCCCTCAATCCAATGACAAGTGACACGGAGTGGAGGAGAAAACCATGTAGATCAAGGCCAAGATTGGAGTGACACCGCCACCAGCCAAGGAACACTTGCCAGGAGTTGCCAGAAACTGAAACAGGCAAGGAAGGATTCCCCCCTAGAGCCTTTGGAGGAAGCATGGTCCTGCCAATACCTTCACTTCAGAATTCGGGCCTCCACGACTGTGAGAGAATAAATTTCTCTTGCTGTAAGTCACCAAGTTTGTGATAATTTACATAGTCCTAGGAAACTAATATACCTGAGGATTAAAATCCAAAATGACCTTTGAAAAGTGTTTTCTGAAAGCCAAAAAAAAAAAAAAAAAAAAAATTGGTGACTCCTGATCTCTCCTTCAAAGCTGGTTTCTATAACATGGGATCCAACGTACCTGGCACATAGCAAGCATTCATCAGTTTGCTCCCTTGGCCCCCTGGGAATTCCAGCAACTCATTCTGTTACCACCATATAGCCATGGTCCAGCCACAGATACTTTCCAAAGTCTGCATTTCCCCGATAATTTACATTAAAACTGCACTAAAATCATCTTCACAGATACCTGCCAGGACTCTGAAAACCCTGGAAATTCTGACTCAGGAAGTCTGAGGTGGGGCCAAGGCACTTGCACATTTAATGAGTTTCACAAAAATGCTGATGTCTCCCGAAGACCAAAACCTTGAAACTAGCACTTCAGCAGCTGGACTCGTTGTCCAACTCTGTCTCATTCCAAAACCCAGTTGGGCTGATAGGCCAAGGAACAGGGAGCATGGGACTGGAGGACAAAGAATACATCTAAGAAACCTGGACATGCTTTGAGAGCAAGCTCCAGTCATACTCCACCTGGAAATGCATCATCCATGCAGTGTTTCTGGGTCGACGCAGACTCCAGAGGGGACCAGAAAATAGACTAAAACCAGAGCTGGTGTAAAGTGATTAAAAAGAGAACTATAAAAGTAAACTCAATTTAAGAAGTATTTATTGGCGGGGTGCCTGAGTGGCTCAGTCGTTAAGCGTCTGCCTTCAGCTCAGGTCATGATCCCGGGGTCCTGGGATCGAGCCCCGCATCGGGCTCCCTGCTCGGCGGGAAGCCTGCTTCTCCCTCTCCCACTCCTCCTGCTTGTGTTCCCTCTCTCGCTGTGTCTCTCTCTGTCAAAAAATAAATAAAATCTTTAAAAAAAAAAAAAAAAGAAGTATTTATTGGCTACTATGCATCAGATACTGTGCTACTCTATCAGATCTGATGATAGGGTCCCTTCCCCTCCTCTCAAGAGCAAATCTAGGGCACTACCAGGAAAAACAAAAACCTAGCAGTCTGGTTATAACTAATCCGAAACCTCGTATCCAGACCTGATCTCAAAGGAACCATCAAGAACTTAGCCAGTAGCTGAAGCTCTGGCTTCTCCCTAAGGTTATATTCAGTTCAGAACAGATGTTATCAGGAAATGGATGTCAGGGGTACTGAGTTTAAGAAGTTGATATTTATTAAAGGTTAGAGGAGTTTGAGGAAATTCTCCTCTCCTGATTAAGTAAAAACACAGAAAGGATGTTACTGATTTGATTAACAAATAGAACTAGATTTGGTCTCTGACACTTGAGGGGATTCCTTAGTGAAATATCAAACTACAGTCCTAGAGTTAGTCTTCTGCAAAAGGAACCACCTGATTTTAAAAAGAGTACAACTAGCCACGTGGGTGGCTCAATGGGTTAAGCATCTAACTCTTGATTTCCGTTCAGGTTGTGATCTGGGGGTCGTGGGATCGAGCCCTTGCATCGGGCTCCCCACTCAGCGTGGAGTCTGCTTGAAATTCTCTCTCCCTCTCCCTCTGCCCCTTCCCTGCCACCCTCACTGCTCATTCTCTCTCTCTTTAAAAAAAAAATTAATAAATTTTTAAAAATAAATAAATAGGGGCACCTGGGTGGCTCAGTCAGTTGAGCAGCTGACACTTGGTTTTGGCTCAGGTCATGATCTCAGGGTCCCAAGGTCCAGCTCCACACTCAGTGGGGAGTTTGCTTCAGGAGCCTATCTCTTCCTCTGCCCCGCTCCCTGCTCGCTCACTCTCTCTCTCTCTCTAAAATAAATAAATTTTTAAAATCTTTTTAATAAATAAATAAAAATACATAATAACTATGCCCATTTTCATTACCCATTAGGTTATTAGATTATATGGTTGAGTCAAGTTCAGAACTATGACAGTTATGAGTTCATTATTGCTTACTAATATAACTCCGGCTCGAAACATTACTTCTGCCCAGAATCAGTGATCCCAGCCGGCATTGGCATATATTCGTTCACTCATTTAACCAATTATTTTATGAGCTTCTTCTCTGGGCCAGGCACTGTAGCAGGGACTGAGGTTGCACTAGTGAGCATGTAGTCTTGGTTGCTGTGGGGCTCAGTCTTTAAAACAATACCCTGTCAAGAGCCACCCTGCATACCTCTGCAGCAGATACTGCTCATCAATCACAGCACCCTTTCCTCCCAAGCCCATAGGCTGCTTGAGGATGTTTCTCGACCTGCCACTCATGAGAATGCTACCAGTTAAGGGTAGAACCTAAGATGAAACTAATTGGCCATCCAGATGTTAATGAAACTACACTGAATCACCGGTGGTTCCCCCAAAATACTATTGTCTTGGTTCACATCATTTTCTGTTTCTGTCCCTTTCACCAACCCCTCCTCCCCCTCTATGAATGTCCAAATCAACTCTTCTGAAGATACAGCTCAAATGCTGTACCTTGAAGTCTCCCTAGTTCTCTTTCACGTAAGATATTCTTCTTCTGAATCTCTATATTTCTTCCCCCTTTTTATGTTAACTAATAAAGTGCATGCCTTGTTTCCCACATATACATCTTAAGAAATATGCCTTTTGCCTTTATCCATTATACAGCTTTGCATACACATACACACGCAAATCATATGCTTGCTAAGCACTGGTTCAATTAATTATGACAGAAGTTGGGATTCAAGCTCACTTGAAAAAAGGTTCACTGTATACCTATATTTCACAGGGGTGTATCATTTCTACTGTTCTGGTTATCAGGTTGCATTGCAATGCAATGAAAGATACTGTACGCAGAATTTGCGTATATATGCATAGGTACATTTTTCCAGGGAAAGGAGTCCTAGCTTCTACCAGATTCTCAAAAGAAGTTATAAGAATAAAATGTATGTGCAGCAACTGACTGACGCTGACAGATGTTCACATGTTTGTTCTCACACATCAAAATGGCATGTTGGGAATGAGAAAGACCCTGTTTACTGCTCTTCCCAGGCCGACAGCTCTCAGGATGATCCTGGTAATCTCCAAACTGTTTTTCCTATGCTCACTGTTGCCACAAAATAAAGTATGAAAAATAAAGTCACAAACACAAAAGCTTTTGTGGCACATAAACTTCTAAATCATCAACAGCATCTATTAAGGCTTCATTATAGTCTCAGAACCTAATAAGCTTCTATGAATTTGGCAAAGAATTTTATTATGTTAAAACTTTATATACCTTTAGGAATCATGTTCTCAAAAAAAAAATCCAAATTAAAATATATTAACTAATTTAAAGGTATTAAGATTAGTAATGAATAGCACTTTTTCAACGTAGGGAAATATAAATAAGGGACAAGGAAAAGAAATGCACATCCTTAAAATGAAAAGTATTATTGAATTAATGTTTATTTAAAACCACGCATGAGTTTTTCCATGAGTTCACATCACAGCTGTATTTACAATACCAAATAACTATAACTAGCTTTTGTCCACAAGACATACTGGGGCAAAGAGTGTGATCAATCCAAAGGTCAAGTTATTTAAAAGGATTTAGCTACGAAGACGATTCATCACAGCCAGTTGCCTGTGGGACTTCTCATTTAAAAAAAAAAAAAAAGGTTTTTAATGAATCAAATCTGTTACAGTGAATTAGTGTGCAATCAAAGCCAACTACATTCCTTGGGGCATGCCAGAGATAAGCAAAATAATATTAATAGAATCAAAGTTACTAAAAAAAATAAGGCATTTTCTTCCTGAATGGTAATATGAAACATCATGGTGTGTTCTCATTCTTTGACAATAGAAAACCAGTAACACATGTTTCAGTATTGACTTTTTAATGTTCCTATAAAGGTAAAACAAAATTCCAACAAGTACATTATAAATTCTAGAAAGTGAGCCACAAAGAGGTGTTCTCTTTAAGAGCATGCAATTCCTTACAAATAGTGTGTCTCATCTCCATGCATGAGTAAAAGCATATTTACAATTCAAACAGAGCTCTGTCAGCTACTAAGGGAACGACTCTCAATCTGCTCCATCCACAGAGATGGTAGATGCGTGATTGATTACACAGCTCTTCTGAATGTGTATCATTTTCTTTTCTTTTTTTTTTTAATGTTTTATTTATTTATTCATGAGAGTCAGAGAGAGAGAGAGAGAGAGAGGCAGAGGCAGAGGGAGAAGCAGGCTCCCCGCCTAGCAGGGAGCCTGATTGCGGGGCTCGATCCCAGGACCCCGGGATCATGACCTGAGCCGAAGGCAGACGCTTAACCATCTGAGCCACCCAGGCGCCCCTGTATCATTTTCTTAAATAGTGACAATTCACTTGTTCTTTTCTATTTTATCAATTTACATTTCAAATGTGGCCACGTCAATGACCAAATATGTACAAATACTTTAAAAGACAAAACAACAACTATATACAATTTGCAAAAATCAAATTTTAACCCTGGTACATTTCATCTAGTCCAACACCTAGACACTTTCCAATACCAATAACAACGATCAGGTACTTCATTGGGCCACATGAAGCCTCAAGACTACATCCAGATTTATTTTTTCCTTTCATATGCTTTCATTTTCTTTAAAAAATGTTTATAGTTTACCTGCTTTTAAACTGACAATGGCTACCCGAGCAATGCCTTATGCCACAAATCAAAGCCTTGCCCTACCCAAAAGCTACTGTTAATTGAAGTCGATTTTACCATTCAAGATTAAATTCAGATGTGTTGATCCCAGATAACTGGGTATGAAATATTAAAATCTGCCAAGAGAAATTAGATATTTTTCTTCTTTTTCTTTAATATAACCCACTATATAATAGTGAACTAAATATGTTTGTTTCATAGAAACAACTTACATTTGCCAATACGGGGCAAATGGTCTATGTACAGATACATTAGGACTGCCTAACTGACAGTGAGTGTTGCCGACCAGGCTCCAAGTCAATGGAGCTAATATGGTGGAGCTCTCTGCTGAATGGACTTTCCCTTCAGGATACGTCGGATCTGGAAGAAAAATAAATAGGATTTGTGAGGTTTACTTTTTATGATCAAAGTACCATATTTCCTTTAGAGTTTCATTCCTTTTTTATATACTCTACACACTCCTGTTGACTTGTAAGTAAATATATGAAGGTATGCAACAATACATTTCCAGATTTTAAGGTAACTTAAAAAATACTACTATAACTCCTTTCAAGCTTATTACAGATCTCCTATAATGATTCTGGAGTGCAAGAAAGTAAAGCATCTCCATTAAAAATTATCTACAGTTGAAAATCTCCAGCTTAAATAAGACCTATACAATCCTTTCCTAATCTCTACTTTTGCTATTTGTGAGAACATTGAATGTAAGGCAGTTATTACGGTATATTACAGTACCTCACCTATTCTGAAGTCGGGTCCAACTAACAAGAACCGAGAGCCCACTTCATACACACACAAGTTAATCTTTAATACTCTTCAAGTAAGAACAGCTTTCAGGATGTCCAATTAAAGCATCTGCACACAGGGGCGCCTGGGAGGCTCAGTCGGGTGAGCATCCGACTTTTGATTTCAGCTCAGGTCATGATCTCAGGGTCGTGAGATCGAGCCCCACATCGGGCTTGGGATTCTCTCTCTCTCCCTCTCCTTCTGCCCCTCCCCCTGCTAACTCGTGTGCGTGCACTCACGCACTAAGTAAATAAATAAAATCTTTAAAAATAAATAAGTAAAGCATCTGTGCATAAATGTATGAGTCACAAAAGAGCTCCTCGGTTCACTCAGGATCTAGTGATTCATTTTATACTATTATCTTTCTCCTGGCCCACAGCAGATTAAAAGCAACAAATCAGAAGAAAGAAGATTAGGGCAGGGGACGCCACTGATAGCTGCTAGGAGGGGAGACACAATGACCAGAGTCTGACCACAGAAGCAAAGGAAAAAACCCTCCCCCCAACACACAGAACCACAAAAACACAAAAGCAGAGAGTAGTAACAAGAGAAGAGTGAAGAGTCAAGCAGCTCTCCATACTCCGTAATCCCTGAGAACACCGCTGTATGACTGCACACCACAAAGAGTGAAGGAGAAGCAAACACTGGGCTTGGGCCTCTGCCATTTACTATTCGATGATGATTCCTATCTGTGCAACCTCTCAGGCTCCATTTTCTCAGCTGAACCTTTACACTGCAAAGTTTTGTAACATGAGAACTCTTTACAAATTATCAAGAGATTCACCTTAAGTTACAAAGAGCTCTACGTATAGGGGTTCCTGTAACATTATGGTCCTACTAAGGGCTGTGAATCAAAGAAAAGGCTACATTGCATTTCGTATATTCTGTGATTATCAAAGTTTGCAATGACCTGCCATAGCCACAATCACCCTCATTTACGTCAGAGAAAGACTGCCATCAAAAAATATCTTATGTTCTGAAAAGATTCAATTCTTGTTATTAAGAAAAGTTGAGCCATGTGAAACTATTCAATCTCCAAAGGTAATATATAACCATCTGATGAGTGAAGCATAACTTTGTTTCAAGTCTTTCTGGGTTCTAAATTACATAACCAACCTTCCGTTTCCTATTTAGTAGCAGTTAGTAGATAGAAACAAGTGGAACAGGGAATGTTTACTGAGCACTCACTATGTCCCTGGGGCTATCCTGAACACTACAGAGACGGACTCAAATTATACCCACAATCTGAAGACCCATCACTTGTAAACCTAAGAGTCTCTTTCCTTGATGTCTGCAGGAACCTTGGTGCCTCCTCTTGCATCAGCTTTCAAACCTCAAACCATTCTGACTTTACTCTAAACCCAACTTTGTGTTATGGAAGAAAAGACTGTCGGATCTTCGACCATTCTGGGTCCATGGATAACCCTCAAATTTCTTACTCTTCCTTTAGAAACAAAGCAATTGCCTCCACGGTTGCTACACAGACGTTATGAGACCCAGACAGTGAGAGAGCCCACCTCAAGAGCGCCTGCTGGCCTCGGCCCCACACCGCCTCCTCTCCCTTCTGTAGCCCTCACCTGTTCTCCCACAGGGCCATCAGGAACCAAATGCACTGGCTGTTCATTCTCCAAGTTCCGAGTACTTGGGTCTGCTCCCTTCCTCATCAGTAGTCGAACTGCATCCAACTGTGTCACCCGATACTGAAGGCTGGCAGCAACATGGAGGGCAGTGTTTCCGTTGTAAGCCTACAGACAGAGAGAAAACGGCACCTCTGAGAAAGGGAGATTTTCATGAAAGCAGTTCAAAAGCCTGAAGAAGTGGTAATGAAGGTCATTCCGAGTCTAATGAGGCTGCGGACGCTTTCTAGAAGTACCTTTGCGTTCACAAAAGACAGGCAACTGGGCAACTCCAAAAAGAGGCGGATGAGCTCCAGATTTGCTTCTTCCGCTGCCAAATGCAAGGCTGTGCGACCACTTTTACGATCCTTAACAAAGGCAAGAGAGGAAGACAATGAACATCCAGACATGACGTTTGGATATGCTTTTCACCCCGGCTCACAAATGTCGGACTCACTCTTGGAGACTCACTGTGAAAGCGCGCATCTCCACAAAGTCTTCCTTCATCCCAGACTAAATGAACTGTCTTATTCCTCCAAAATCCCCCATCAATTTCCTATATACCTCCTATCACAGTCTGCTCTTATACACAGGGCGGCCACAAAATGTAGAGACATAAACAATACTATTTTGCCATATATTGTAATTCAAGACAATAAAACATGTACTATGTATTCGCCTGCGTTTCCAGACTTGGCGGCCACCCTGTAGACACAATTAGCTGCATCTCTCACCTCTTCTGCTTGCCAAGGTCTGGGAAGTAGCTTATGGTTTAAGCATTCTTCCCCCAGAGCTCCCAACTCAGTGCCTTGTACATAAGAGATACTCAGTAAATAAACCTCAAATTTAAAGGGAATAAAATATTTTCCAGTTTAAAAACAGCTTAAGTGCAGATGCCACAATGATGGAACAACCCTTACAAAAAAGCACTACTCTTATTATTAGTATATGAAAATAGAAGCCAAAATCACAATATCAATTTCAAGGATTTTCTCTTCCAAACAAAGATTAGTTTATTTCACAGCTCAATGATCTTTTGAATAACAATGCACAAATTAAAAGCAAATTAAGAAAGCTGATGATTTTAAAAGCTAAGCTTCTTAATTATCCATGCATTGCTACCTACTCCATTAATTTAAGAAGAGGAAAAAAAGTTTTCGTTTATACTTGGGAACGAGGTCTTTTGCTACGAACACTTTTCTTCCCTATCCCATCTCCAAACTCTTCTGAGAATTTACCTTGGCTTCCACTGCTGCTCCCATCTGAATCAGACATTTAATGGTGTCAACCAGACTCTTGTTCTTCAGTAGAAGCTCCTGAACTTCAGGTGAATGGGGCTGTTGATTTCTCTGAAGTTCATGCACCACAGCATTGTGGGCCACAACCGCACAGTGGAGGGGAGTCAGGCCTAAAAGAGTATAATGAAGCAGTGGTCAAGCTTCCATCAGGCATTTAGTTGCTCCACAAGGACAGACCTTGAGGACGGTCTCTAACACGACCTACAGACGGGCCCCACAAGAACCAGTAAGGCCATCTGAACATTCCCTCCATTGGTGCTAGTGCTTACTTTACCCATAGTGCTAACTTTATCTATAGACTATTTTAGCTTTAATTACCTCCCTTCCTTCTTGGTATAAAACTTAATACCCTTAGAACTGATGGGTCCCACTCTCGAAATGCTTTTTCATCCAATAAAATTTCTGTTGCTTACCGTCATAGTTAGTCGCCTCAAGATCCAAAAACTGATTGCTCTTCACTGCTCCCTTCTGAATTGCCTGCAAAATTTAAAAAGATACACTTTAGTGAAAGACAAGTTACACAAATACTTATTTACTAGTAGTCCCAAGAAACGAGTAAGTCAACTCAAGATAGATTATTGCAACAGGCAACCTGCATCTGACTTCTAATAGCCAAGCCCTATCTCTTTGGCCCTGTGATAGCAGAAGCCAGCTCACTGCCTCTTACCTGGAGCACCTGGGAGTGCCCTTTCTCAGCACAGACGTGCAGAGGGGTTCTTCCCCAGCAGTCGGTGGTGTTCACCTGGGCCCCAAGGTTCACCAGATCCTGCACAATGAGATGCTGATTGGCGGCCACTGCCACCTGAAAGGCGCTCTGTGGACATTCAGAGAGAAAAAGGATTTTGTTGACATATGTAACACTACCCTAACACGGAATATGAACATAAACTAAGACTGAGGGGAAAACCCCACATAGAGAAAAGAAATCCTATTAGTAAGCAATAAGATACTGTAACACAAGGAAATGAAAATAAGCTTAGGGTGTGGCTTTATTATACCCAGTTAGTCTTTGGTCAAATAACTACAAAGTTAACGTTAATAACTTCAAGGCTGATGGTGGCAAAGAGTCAACATCTCAAAGTTAATATTTTTTTTTTAAAGATTTTTATTTATTTATTTGACAGAGAGAGACACAGTGAGAGAAGGAACACAAGCAGGGAGAGTGGGAGAGGGAGAAGCAGGCTCCCCGCCGAGCAGGGAGCCCGATGCGGGGCTCAATCCCAGGACCCTGGGATCATGACCTGAGCTGAAGGCAGACGCTTAACGACTGAGCTACCCAGGCGCCCCTCAAAGTTAATATTAACTAAACTCTTGGTCTGGAGCTCTAAAATGATCTACACATAAATATGAAACTGGTCATCGTCCGCTTTCCACATCTCTGTCTGTTCACTCTGACAAGATCCTCACCTGTCCATTGTGCTCTTTAATATCCAACATGTGAAGCGCATTCATTTTTCTTGCAAGGACATAGGAAAGTGCCCTTCTCCCTTGGGCAACAGCAATATGGAGGAACCTGGGAAATAAGGAGAGAAAGAGGTGAATTATCTCTGACTTCACTAACTTCATCTTTAAAAATTAAAAAATTCTCTAGCCCCTTTCTTGATATGCTGGTGCACTCAAATGAAATATTACAGACAATAATTTGTCTTTTCTGCTGGGTTGATAACACATTTGAGTCACAACAAGACATGTTAAGCTACCAGAAACAATAAGATGAATGATAAGCACCATGCTGATCACTTTAAATCTATTATTTTTAATATTCCTAAAAACCCTAAGAGGGAGGTCTTTTCATTTTACATGTCAAGAAACTCGGGCATAGAGAGGTTAAATAACTTGCCCATGACCACAAAGATGTCACAACAGATTAAGATTCAATCTACAAGTCAACTCACAGTTGATCATTGACCAACTAATCGTGATCTGTTTTTGCTCTACAGACTCAATCTACGCTGGTCTTTCAAAACCAAGTATTCAAAGAAGTCACGGACATTTTTATTAATTTAGAACAGGTAACCTGGTCAGACAGAAAAAATAAGGAAAACTCTTGAAATATTCACTTCACTGAACAGCAATTTCTACCTACACTAGTTGTCCTGATTAGCCACTTACTAAGGTCTAACTTGATATACCCCAGAGAAATTCTGTGCCCACTACATCTAACAAGTGTGGTTTACCAAATCAGCTACAGAAAAGGATACTCACGTGTCACCATCTGTATCCTTTGAAAGAAACTGGTCTTGGGAGATATTTGCCAATTTGCTTTCTTCTTGCTCTACTTGCCACTGAAAAAATGACTTCCCTAACTGTGTGGTGTTCACTGGATTTCCGATGATGTTCGGGAATGGCAGTGAGGTGCTTAAAGGGGTGGAGCCTGCATCATGGCCCACCATAGCCTCACAGGCACTGGGCGGCATCATGTTGAAGTTCTGCAGCTGGGACTCATTTTGCTGCTGAACGTTGTGGGAGTTCTGAATGGGAACAGCAATATTCTCAGATTCCTGACTATTTAGAAAGGATGCAAAACTTTGATCTGGGCAGAACTGTGGGTCTTGGCCATCAAAGAGGTTTGGTTCATAGCTGGGGGACTGGGAAGTTCTGGAATAAGGACTGTATTCCAGAGCTGGGGTGTGGGTGTAGTGCTGTGGTGGTGGCGGGGGGTGCTGCAGGTTCTGGCTCTGGGGCGAATACTGGTACAGGGCCGCCTGATCCATCAGGTGTGCGGAGCTGCTGACTTGGAAGGGTTGGTACTTCTGCGGTGGAGAGAAGATCTGCCCTCTGTGGAAGTCCTGACACTGTTCTCGGGGGGAGCCCTGCGGGACCACCCCAGGGCTCATCCAGCTAACTTGGACAGTATTTAAGGAAACCGGGCTGCACTCATTCTTAATGTTGATTATGTTCTGAAGCAGATCGGCACTGCTGTCCTGTTTGGATTCACTGTGCTGAACATCTTCCATGCTCTCTGCAGGTGTTGGTGTTTGAGGCGGTGTCTGGAGAAGAAGAAAAAAGTAAGTGGCATGCGCTCTTTCAAAACTATTCCAGGAAAGATTTCCAAAGCGTATTCAGAGGAAAATAGTGAGGTACTTACCAAAAACTGGGTATGTAATAAAGCTGGCCTTTTGCAAGCTGGTCCATCAGACAATGAATCAGGTCCTTTCCTTTTCCCACTATATGGTACTGTGTTCTTCAATTCTATACCCCAGAAAGGAATATGGAATCTGTGATCACCTTATTTTCTAAATTTTACCCATAATCACACTACATTATTTTACTCTAAAGCCCCCATAATATGAATAGAAGGAATTCTTACCTGTGAATTGCTCTCTGTTCACACTTTCCGTCTATAAGGAAAAAAAAATTCCAATTTAATGCATATCAAATGGTTTCCTATTTAATGAACATCAATAAAACAGATTTATCTCTACCATTCTTTACAGCTCACCATAAATCTTTGATAGTTATCCTAGCAATATTTATTTTCTATCTTAACTTTTATTCTATCTTGCAACTTTCCCCATGTTCACTTTCATCTTAGTTCAACTAAGTCAAGACAAAATACGTAAGGCCATTTGAGTTTTCCCTTTCTAGTCAAGCTCTTCCATTTCAATTGAACCCCATGAATTCCTTGCCTCCAACTTGCCTTCATTTATTCATTCCCTCATTAGATTTCCTTTGTGCGCATAGTACCGGGCTAAGTGATAGAAATACGACAGAGACCAATATGCCCTCCATCCTATGACTTTGTCATGTGGTCTACAAAGACCTACTGGACCTAGGTCAACAGAGAATAATAAATATCCTGACAGAATAACCTCCCTGCCCTGACCCAAAACAAAAACTAGGTGCCACCTTAAAATCATCCACAGTTTGGCCAGAAGCCTTCTGTTTATGACTTCGGATATGCAGGAGTAGTTCCTTCACCGAGTTCTTCACACGAACGCCTTGAAAGGGTCCTCTCTGCTGCCTTCCAACCCCCATATGGGGTTCGACTGTTCAAAAGAAAACAAAACATATCCCAGTTAAATCTCTTTACAGGCACAAATCTTGATAATCTCAAAAGCATAGCTCTCTAATGTCTGAAGCCCCCAACCAACAGACTGCAAAGCCTTTCCAACTCACTCTGGTCAACGTTCAGCCCCCAGCCCTACTTAAGGATTCTTCATTTCCTAATACTTTTCTTCACCAGACACCCTAAGAAAGCTCATAAAGCTGTGGTTTTGGGGGGCCCCCAGAGCCAACAGATAAACCCAAATTAAGCCTCTTTGTCTTTCAGCCCTATCCATCCAAAAGACACTGTCACAGATTTTGCCACGCTCTCATAAATCTGTAATTATTCTTGACTTTTTAAAAAACCTTGAGGGAACAAGCAATAAATGATGGATTTTTAGGTTTTTCAAAACAGAGGCTTTATGTCCACACAGAAATTTAAAGTCTATTAATTCCACTAACCTAAGAAAGCACAACACAAACTTCCTCCAAAGATTTCAGTGTGCTAAATAAAGCCTAACAATCAATGATGTCTTAGATTTGTTTCTTATTATTTCCCTCCGTTCAGCTATGCCAAGAAAGCTGCTTAAATTCACTAAGCTTAAACACATTTCGACATACACACACGATTTCCCCTCACCGATGGTTTTTGGAATTGCTCACCTAGGCTTTCTAAGTAGAAAGGAAATAATCTCATTTCAATTTAAATTTTAAAATACACTTTAAAATGTAGTCTATGTTTACAGCTTCTGACCGCTACTATGTCACAACCTCTTGGGATGAGCCGAACACAAAGTAAACACGCAGAAAGTCAGGAAATGAATAATTGAGACTCTCACTTGAGAGTGGGGAAAAAAGTAAGAAGATGGGACAAGAAACAAGGCCTAATTTGAAGATACACAGATATAGATATATCATAAGCATATGAGAGGAAACAATTCTATGATGGAGTAAATTAAATGACCAGTTGATTTTATGTTTAAATTTAGGAAAATCTTGCCAGAAACTAATACAGCGTTTCTCTGGAATTCAACGTCACAGGGAGAAAAATTCAGTTTCAGAAATCCCCTATGTCTATGTGGTAAACCAAAGAACTAGCAAAACTGTCTCATCCAGATGAAGACCAAATGTGAGAGAAAAGTTTCTAATACACACACACAGTTTTTTGCATCTGCTACACATTTAACATACAGGGAACACCTTATAAAAATCAAGGGACTTAAATTATTTTTTAAGAGAAAATGAAAAATCACTCTTTAAAATAAAAAACAACTGAAACAAAAGTGCCTCGCAGGAGGGAACACCTAAAAGATTCGTTCTTTAAAATCATGCTGATTAGACTTTCCAGTATGTGAGATTATCTAGAGGTTTAGTCTACCCACAGTGCCAATCCTGTTTTCCCTCAAGTTATGCAACTCGGCTTATTAAGAAAAGAAACTAACCATTTCATAGCAGAAGAACGGAAACATTATGCCTTTCTTTAAGATTTGGTTTAACCATTCTAAATCATACAGAACACAGAACTTCCCGAAACTCGGAAACATCACAAACTAAAGACATAAATCGAGCTGGTTTTCCGTGCAGTTTCATCTTACATCTTGTTCATATCAGTTTCTTTCCCTTAACATAAAGTCCTCTTATTTAATATTTCCACAAATACTTAGGAAAAAAATAAGTTGACCTTAAACACAGTATTCAAACCTCACTGGTGACAAGAAAGTTAAGCCTACATCGGATCCAAAAACTCGCCACAAGTATATGAATTATGCCTTAATAAAGCTTTTTTTTTTTTTTTTTTAAGAAAAAAGAAGAGTGAGAGAAAACCTAACGTGATTCATCCCCAGCCCCAGAAGTCAGAGCTCTGCTCTTAGAGGCCCTTTGGGCTTCCAGGCCAACTGGATGGCGCCCGCATTTTACAGATGGTCAAAGGGCATCGAGTTATATCAAACGCCCAGCACAGAGCGTCATCCAGTAATCCCTAATAAATAATGGCCGCTGCGGAAGTCGCAGAGGCCACCTAACTTCTGGGCGAGGAACTTCGCACCGGGCGGCGCGGCCCTTCCCCTCCCGGCGTGTGGGCCGCCCGGAGACGCGGGAGCCGCGGGCGCAGGCGCTGCGGGGCCGCTGGGGGCGCTGGGGGCGCTGGGACCGCCCCCGCCCGGGCCGGCGGGTGGGTACCTTGGAGCCGCTCCGCGCGCGCGCCGCCTCTCGGCCGGGACTCCACGGCCCCGCACGAGGACACGGACGAGGCGGAGGAGAAGTCGGAGGAGTCGGAGCCGGGCGAGCCGGGCGCCGAGGGCCCCGACGACGAGCAGACGGCGTCGTAGGCGCCCGGGGCCGCGGCCGGCGGCGATGCGCCGTAGAAATAGGCCAGGTTCAGCGGGCTGGTCATGAGGCCGCCGTCGCCAGCCCTGTCCAGCAACCCCTCTCCTCCGCGGCTGTCGTCCAGCAGCTTGTCCACGATCATGCTCCCGGGCGGGGCGCTCGGGGACCCACGCTCCTGCGCCACCGGCTCGCTGCGCGCGGCTGCCTCCCGGCTGTGGCTCCGGCGGGCTCGCGAGCGGCGGGAGGACGGCGCGGGCACGGGCGCGGCCCGGGGCTGCCCGGCTATTTAACCGGGCTCCGGGGGCGGGGAGAAGGGACCGCCGCCTCGCCTGCCTCCCCCGAGCCCCGCCGGGCCATTGGCGGCGTCGGGGCCACCTCCCGGCCCCTCCTCCGGATGCGTCCCGTTTCCAGTAAAATGTACAGGATGAGGCAATGTGCCCTCCGCCCTCGCCCCGCCCGCCCGGCTCCGCCCCGACTGCCCGGTTGTTTTCTCCCCCTTCACCTGGAAACCCCGACCGAGTGCCGCCTCCCGCCTCCCGGACCGCGACCCCCGCTGCCGCCCCCCGCCCCCCGCCCCGCCGGCCGCCCGCCGGGAGAAGCCGGGCCAGGCGCGGGGGAAGAAGGCGCGCGGCGTGGGGCCCTGGGCCTGCAGAGGGAGACGGGGAGGCGGGAGGGCAGCGCTGGGAGCAGGTCGGCCTGGTTCCCGGGCAGTGGGAAGTCCTGGAAGCTGCGCGTTCCGCACTCCTCCGCCCGCCCTGGCGCGGCGAGCTTCCCGCCAGCTCCATTTAAGGCGTCTCTGGGAAGTTCCTAAGGGCCTGTCTTCTCCAGCGCCTCAGAGCGGCTTTGTCCTCTTAACTTAGCTTTTGCCAACGTACCTTTTGGCAGGGTCCCAAACTGAGAAAGATGTTGAGGCCATTTTTCTGCCTCAAATTGTAATCTGACAACTAAATATTTTTTGGCACAGCCGGGGGAATAAAAAACAGTGCCTTAAAAAAAAAACAAAAAAACAGTGCCCTACACCCCTGTATAGTTCGGTACTGGAACAAAGCCATCTTAGCAAAATGATGACTCTACATACATGTATATATCTGTATTTATATACATATATATCTTTTTCTTTCTGCATAATTTTACATTTTATCTGATAAACAGGAATTTCAATCTTTCCTATCGTAAGTACTTTTTCAAAAGATTTTATTCATTTGAGAGTGAGCAAGGGAGAGAGAGCGAGCAAGGGAGAGAGAGCACCAGTGGGGGGAGGAACAGAGGGAGAGGGAGAGGGAGAGGTAGACTCCCTGCTGAGCAGGGAGCCTGCAGCGGGGTTCCATCCAGGAACCCCAGCCAAAGGCAGACACCCAAATGACTGAGTCACCCACACACCCCTCCTAAGTACTTTTTAATGGATTTACACAATTCTTTATTGAAGTCCTAAATCTTGTTAAAACCATGGCTAGGAGTTTGCAGGAGAAAAAGATGATTATATGTCCCACCTTTCAAGTATCTTGTAGAAATGATAAGGTAAGCACACAAATGCTAAATTAAAAGAAACCGATTATGATTAAACATCATGAAGGATACAAAGTCCAACGATGTCCTAAAAAGAAAGACAAAAAGTGGTGGAGGAAAAGAGGTCATGAGGAAAATCTTTGCAAAGGAGGTGTCATTCCCTAAAGGATGGGTGGGATTTCAACCAAAATCATTTAGAGGAAGAAGAACAGCATGGGCAAAAAAATTAGGAAGAGTCAGATAAAACCTTACTTTTAGGGTAGTCAAAGGAAAGACGATAACATAAATGTAGTAAGTCACTTGGTGCCTTTGGGTGGAGCACCTCCAGTGGCCGGCTGAGACACTGGGTCTTTAATGAACACTGAGTGAACATGAAAGAATTTGGGACAGGCAAAATTAACCTGCAAGCAGCTTTGATGGGGTAAGACTGAGGGGCCCAGAGGCCATTAGGAATCACTGCAATAGTCCAGGAGAGAACTGACCTGACTCTGGTACAGAGGCAATGAGGAAGAGAAAGTAAATGGAAAGAAGAGGATGGACAGCATTGCTAAGACAGAATCCACAGGTCTGGACCTGTTGGATGTAGGCAGCAATGAGAGGGTCACCGGTCAGGATGTGACGGGGGTGCTGGATGACCAGGTGAACAGGGATGTCAGCTTCAGATCACAAGCAAATCAGCAGAAGCAAAATATTAGGGTTCCAGGAGGGAAGGAAGGAGACAGGAAGACAATGCGCTTAAATTGTTACTCGGTATTAATAGGTGATAGAAGACCCTGCTGGGAGTTCCAAAGTAAATATTTACTTCTTTCTCAAAACTATTGTATTGCCCCCAAACTTCTTGTTGTCTTTCCCTTCTCCCAGTTTTTGGATTTCGGTAACTTTAAAAGAATAAAAAGGATGGGGCGCCTGGGTGGCTCAGTCGGTTAAGCGACTGTCTTCAGCTCAGGTCATGATCCTGGAGTGCGGGATCGAGTCCCGCATCGGGCTCCCTGCTCGGCGGGGAGTCTGCTTCTCCCTCTGACCCTCCTCCCTCTCATGCTCTCTGTCTCTCATTCTCTCTCTCCCTCAAATAAATAAATAAAATCTTAAAAAAAAAAAAAAAGATTAAAAGAATAAAAAGGAAACAACTCCTTTGTATCCGCAGGAAATACAAGACTCCAGTAATTGCAGTTCTTCAGAAACCAAAATCACTTAAAGGATGCTCCAAATGAGATGTTGGGCTTTCTCAACAAAATCTATTTGGATATTTTTTTTCTCTTTATGTATAATAAAGGCCTTAAATGTCTATTCAAACAAATTCATGCACAAATATTTTTTACAAAATTAATTCTCCCCCCAAAATTATTTCTGGTTTCACTTGGTATATAAAAATCCAAGCTCAAAACCATAGCCTCTGAAGAACTCATAAATAAATATGGTCAGTGAAAGACTAATGTTTCAGAATAAACTTTCAAAGTTTTCTATGAAATGTCAAAGCAATCATATTGTTTGAGAAGACCACAAGCCCCAATGCCCAGAAGCCCTCCCGCATACAGTCAAGAATGCTTATTTGTTAACATCACTACAAAAAGAAAATCTAAATATAGTTTGCTTTATGTACATGTTGAAATATAAACTTATTTTGGTCTATAAGGTTAAATGATATAACACTACCATTGTTCTAATCAAATATGATAGAACATTCACTCTCAGAGAGAGAGCTACCATGTTATGAGGACTCTGGAAAAGTCTACTGAGGCAAACAGCCAGCACCCACTGGACAGCTATGTGAGAGAGCCATTCTGAAAGCAGACCTCTACCATGTCAGGCTTTCAGATGTCTGCACTGACCAACATCTTGACTGTAGTCTTAAGAACAACCTTGAGCCAGAATTCCCCCAAGCCACATCTAGATTCCTGACGACAGAAACTATATTTAAAAAATGAACCCTTAAGAATTTGCCCAAGGTCACACTGCTCATCACTGGGTGAAGAGATTAAAATCCTCATCTGTCTGACTCTAGAGCCTGATCTTTTGCTTTAAAATGGAGATCAGAAGACTCATTTCCTCAAGGCTCAGCTACTCCATCTACCTATAAAGATAAGAAAAAATATGAAAATGACATATCAGAGAGATCCCTGAGAAATCTGCTCCAAAACAACTGGAAGAAACTGTAAATAAGAAATAAAATATGATGATGGCTACCTTTCCCTTGGCTTTATAGATGTTAACAATTTACCTTATTGTATCTTATATGATAAAACATTTCTGAATCCTATAGTGCCAGTTAAGTTGTAACACCATTTTGAGGTCAATCATTCAAAGTTTTAAAAAAGGCTCTGATTTTTTTAATGTAGATGTAATAAAATTTTCAAAAGCCAGAAATTATTTGGTACAGCCTTTCAAACTGGAGATGAAAAAAGCCAGTGAAATATCTTACGGGGTAAGTTATTGTACTGCATTGGCTGAAGAAATGAACATCATAGGTTAGAGATTAATGAAGCCTGGGAGAATTTATTTTGCTAAATGGCTTCTAGATGAAAACACAGCAAAAGAAATTATGGCCCTGCCCTTTCCAATAATATAGCAACTCATCAAATTAAGATTCGACTGCACATATGAAAGCTGATCTTGTCTGCAGGACTGAGCTTTTGCCTTAGAAATGGATAGATCTGGGCGCCTGGGTGGCTCAGTCGGTTGAGCATCTACCTTTGGCTCAGGTCATGATCCCAGGGTCCTGGGATAGAGTCCGGCATCAGGCTCCCTGCTCGGCAGGGGGCCTGTTTCTCCCTCTCCCTCTGCCTGCCGCTCTGCCTACTGGTGCTCTCTCTCTAGTTCTCTGTCAAATAAATAAATAAATAATCTTAAAAAAAAAATTGACAGATCTACAGACTGGACTTGCTATTTTGGTTGTATTCATCAGGTATTAGCACTGGCTAATCACCAAAGATCTTTTATATGAATGCTTGCAAACAAACAGAAGAGGTGCTGAGACATTCAAAATGTACAATAATCGTCTTGAATCTCATCATTTATCCTGGAAATGTCAATTGTATTGACATTTGCACCGATGGTACAAAAGCAATGGTGGGTAAACTGCGGCTGCCTTAAAACAAATCGGGTCAGTGGCAACAAAATGATACAGTAGTCATTGTATTCATCACCACCACGCACTAGCAGGAAAGAAAAGAAAAGAAAAAGCCAGTTTCACTTGAGAAAATCCTAGACGAAACGGTAACAGTTATTAATTTTATTAAATATTGACCCTTGAAATATACATATTTTTAAAATTCTATGATGATTGTCTGGAAAAGCACTTGGTCCATTAGACTGAATGAATGATAAAACACTGCCATTT